CTCACAATTTTTTGGCCATACTCACACTTTGCTAAATATATGAAATAACTGAGGAAAAACATCAGATTTTAAAGGTTTACAAATAGTGTATGGTAAAAGCCAGACTAATTTATGAATGGTAAATAACCTGAAATAAAGTTATATATGCACTTCACAGTAATTCCACTAGAAAGTGCATGAAAATACGCAGTTGTATCTACTTTCTGTTTCAAACCCTTCTACTTTTGCTTTTTCATATCTGTACCATTTATGACCTATGCTGTGAAAGAAATTAAATATAAACAAAGCAGAATTTATACACATCTCTGAAAAGAGAAGAGCCTGGGTGTTATGTCAGCAGTCAGGTGTGAGTTGCAAGAAAAGAAAGACAGTGAATACAAAGGAAGACATTTGAGTGTAAAGTATTCATACCACATAAACTTACAAAAGCCAAAATGCAATTGCTACCATAAAAATATCTTAGTGGCTCCACAAGGTTATTTCAGGAATCTTGTGAATCTGGATCAGTCTACTGTTATAACTCCAGGATGATAAAATTTTAACAGGGACAGAAGAAAAACACAAGCAGGAAACATTTAAATTACATTTACCATTCTTGAACAATTTCTTAAATTCAAACAAGGATGTTTTAGAACATCTCCAGAAAATTTTAGGGTTTAACTGACAAATTGCCAAATATTGTGAAATGAAAGTGATTCCATGCCTAGGAAACCTGTTTTGTATGTAGGAGTGCTATTTTCTCTCTCTTCTGAAACTTGGTTTGTGTTGGATGGGTGTATTTCACTGAAGTATTTAATGTCTGTGGTTGTACCTTAAAGATGAGAAATACAGAGAACTGCTGCTAACAGAAGGGCTTCACCTAATGCTACCTACTGATAGTTATATTTTGCATTTCTGAACTATGGTTCAGCCCCCAGCCAGTGTAAACTGGCTGAGGAGGTCACAGCTAATCCATGACACATGAAGCAGATAATTATTTTGCCCATTCCCAATTTTCCATGTGAGATAATAGATTCCTTTTCACAGGGAATATTTTGGTAATGGGAGATGCACAGGTCTTCCACAAACACATGAAACAGTATAGCAAATAAATACAGAGAGAATAAAATACCATTTACAGGTAGTGCATGCTGCAGGTGATGGTATTTGTGCTTATACGTTCCTAAAATGGCTGTAAGGAACATAGAGATTGTCTTCAGCAAGAAATACTTTTCTTAGACACTGCTAGGTAAAATCATTTGCTCCTTAGTATTGCAAGTTGCTCTGAATGTTTTTTTCTACTCATTGTACATATTACTGAATGTAGTGGAAATGTTTCTGAGAGTACAATCTACTTAATATGTAGAAATAAATAGCTATAAAACAAAACAAAACAAAAAAATGTAAACTGATTACAGTCTGCCTGGCCGGCTCACTTGCAGCAAGTGGCTGTATACAACCCAGTTCAATCAGTTCTTTATTATTTCATAATGTTAAAGGTTATTACCACAACACAAAAAAGGGATAAGAGCAAGTTCTTAAATTAGCATTTCCTTAGCTCAAATGCCAGCACACTAATCCCTTTCTTTAAAATTTAACACACAGTATTGTAAATCACACTTACAGTGTTTTTTTTTTTGTTTTTTTTTTTTGGTGTTTGTGTTTTTTTTGTTTCGTTTTGTTTTTCTGCTCTCTTTCAAGTAAGAAACGTTCCAGAAGGAGTACAGTAAAGAATTAGAAGGGACACACCATGTCCCATTCTGTCAATTTACAGATTCTTCAAGCACAGCACATTGGCCAGTGTGATGTAACGATGACACTAACTTTCAGGATTTTAAAACTGTTGTCAATCCAGATTACACTCCTGCCTGGTTAAAATAATAGGAGATTTCTGTTTACACTAAGAAAGTATTCTGGGAATCAGGGATTCATCTGCAGTTTTATCAGGCTGATTTTGGAATGAGTTCACTGGTAAGTCCCAAATAGAAATATGGTGATGCCATTATTTTCAGCTTGTCATACAAAATAAAAACTGTATGTTAATATAATGCATTAAGCCACCAACTAATAATGCAAAGTTTGTAGAGGACAGAAGACAGTATGCCACTGTTTAGAAAATGAATGAATCTGACAGAGATTAGTATTGCTGCTGTTTGTGCACTGGCAAGTAAAATAACAAATGTTCTCCATCTCTGATGACTCCAGACAAGACAGAGAACTGAGGACCATAGGAGCAGCAGAGGTTTAGGAGCACTTTCAGCCTGTAATATGATGGGTTTACAGCTATTTTCATTTAGATCTGATCTTGGATGTGAGTTGAATCGTAGACCTCTTTTTATGGGCAGCTTCTACATAGTTTATAACTATTCTGTGATAGAGACACAACCATGGCAACCAACAGCATTTCGACTATGCACTAGGACAACACAGCCCTCTAGGGCCTTCCTCTGAGGGCACTAAGAAACTCCACTGAAAGCTGAAATGAACAGATTTCCTCTTGAAAAGGACCTTTGACTGATACTATTCAGCTTGTGTTAACCATCTGCAGCATACAAGGTGTAGGATTAACACCCAAGCAAAACAAACATCTACAAGCATCTACAAATTAGCACTTTTGAGATGGATTTTACTTAGAAGTGATTTTTTTTCACTGCTTTCCTAACTCAAATACCCTCTCCTGCTTGTACAATCATACAAAACGTAAAAAATCTCATATATCAGGATTAGACCTTTGCAAGTATTTCAGTTCCAACACAAGGAACAGACCAACATCAAAGAGCATGTTGTGTTTATGAACACACTCTGCTCCACTTGCCAAATTTGTTCCTTTCATGCTCTGAGTGTTTGATAATCCTTTAAAACGGTATTCCTCTGCCTTTCTCTCTGGGGGAAAAAATAAATAAATAAATAAATTATGACAGATTATCATTTTTTACTATGAAGTTCCAGCTCTTCCCTACCAAAAAAAAAGTTACATTGGTTATTCTCAACATCAAAGATACTATATGTCTAGGCTGTCATTCCAACCCATTTCCCACTGAAGAGCTTCTCACTGAAAGCACATCATTATGATTACTTATTATGTTTATGATTTATGATTACTGGTGCCTGTAGGTTCTTGTTTCATATCCATTGTGACTACTGAATTCAAATCTGAAAGTCCTCAGAAACAGCATGCAATGTCACTTTATTAGTCTGTTCAATAAAAATAAAAAAAAATAAAAACAATAAAATAAGAAGAGATTTAATAGATGGTTAATACTTTTCAGGTCTATGCACTAGAGCTTTCTATACCCAAGATTCAGCACAAAGTATAAAGGCATTCTTTTATCTAAAAGTATAGTTTGTGTGTGTGTGCTTGAACAGGGAAAATAGAGGTGTTACAGGCACACAAATTTGAGTTTGCTGCTGCAGTCTCCAGCTACTTTTGACACAGGGAAAAAGCACAGTCAAACATTAGTTATACGTATGGCAAACTGAAAAATAATTCTTTACCAAAAACTGTTGATCACTACTTGCCATGGGACTTCACAGCAATCCTGAAGGTCAGGAGACCTGAGATATTTCAGACCAAAGAAAAGAGATGGATTCCAAAGCTAAGGACATTTTTTTACAGGACATTTTCCCCCATACATTAGATTTTATATGAAAGATAATTTGAACATCAGTTCCTTGGCTGGTTTCAGCTGTAACCAAAAGGCAAAAGCTAAGGAAGATTCCTCTTGGAGAGCAGATGTCTGCTACTCAGAGAGTGCTTTACTTCAGCCCCAAAACTTTACTTCAGCCCTATTCAGGAATTAATAGGAAGCCAACACAATTCTTGCAGTTGTGCTGTAGCTTGCTTCCAGCAGGAAACACTGCTAACCATGCAGATGGCTGCTATCTGTACCAGTTTGGGTAACTAAGGGGATTCAAGGCTCAGCACTCCATGGAGCACGCTGCAGCCACTCGCTGCTGGGTGGGAGGCATGGATGACAGGAGCAAACTCATATTCAGATAAAACAACTGTGTTCTCCAGACCAGAGAAAATTTAAAATACATTTCTTAGTCACTGATAGTTTTCCCTCAGCAACACTCCCAGACTGATAGGCACCCAGAATAAAAAGAGATTTTTGCCATGTCCTCTGGCTCCTTTCCATTCACTTGGCCTCAGTCTTATCTGGACAAAACTTCAAGTAGCTGGTTTCATCTGGGTCCAAGCCTCCATACCATTGCCTACAAACTGAACTAGTTGGTAGCTTAATTTATTGTGCTATAACAAATAGCAAATCTGGAGCTCCGGTGCCCACAAGAGCCATATGCCCATATCATAACTTTCTCCTTTTAGGGTTGCTTTTCCTGTCCTAATTTATACTTCCTGAGTTACAGTACATACATTTACATGGTTAATGTTCAGATTGCTGAGATTACACCACAGTGATGCATGCAATATAAATGCCTAGACAGATGGATGCAATATCACAGATTTCTGAAAGAAGGAGAACTTGCAAAACCAGAAGCTCACACTTCAAGAAACCTCATTTGCTAGCACAGGGGTCACTGAAAATAGATCTGAATGCTTAAAAAGCAGCTAAATAGTCTTAAATAAAGCACTGCTGACACAGGTATATACTCTTTCCTAGAAACAGGAAATCTGTTAAGCTGGCAGGAAATGATCTTCTAGAGAAATTCTGGATTTTATATATATATATATATATATATATATATATGTTACGTTTTTATAAAGAATAAATGCCAATCTGTTCTGCAAAGAAAGTCTGTGGAAAAAGCCACTTTTCCAATTGCCTTAATCTTTAAATTAAAATGATGCTAAAAAGAGGTACTTTATTAATTAAGCCAGTATCTGTTCAGCAGCTTTGATGCTTCACACATAACTCATAGAATAGGGTATTTCCAAGAGGCAGCAGTGTAAGTTTAAATCACTACAGGGTAAACAATTTGGACTGACAACAGATGAGAGGTCTCTGGAAGAGAGTCTCTCTCCAATTACTAATAATACAGCTATAAGACAACAGGTGCTGGTCTGCTGAGCCCTCTTGATATTTTGATAAAACAAACTCTCCTCTCCTACCGAGAGAGAGAAAAAAAAGGAACTGGCACAGAGGGACAGAAGCAATGTCTGTCTGCTTTGATAATACTGCTGATGATAAAAGGAAAACTAAAATTGTCACTCACGACCACCTGCCTCTCCTGACCAGGGATACAGGTATCGTACAGCAATGCTATTATTTCTGTTTGGTAAAGTATGCTGTTCAATTCCTTTCTGGTTAAAGGAAATAAAAAATACTTTGCCAGTTTATTGATCTTTGGTAATTGGCAAGCTACTGTGGGCAAATATTAAAGGAGCTTTCTTGAAAAGACAGAGAGATCATAGTGAAGCAAGTGATAATTAGAAACTAAAGCTGGTAAATTTCAAAAAGTAATGCAGATATTATAGAAAATACACCTTTTCCCTGCCTTGCTGTGCTATATCATTTTTCCTACAGTTTGTTTCAAAGTCTCTCTTTGCCTTTCATTTTATACATCTTTCAGCACTGTTGTTATGCAAGATGGGGAATCATTCATTTTAATGTGATACTAAGCATATTACCACAAAAACAGAGAGAGGATACCATTTTACTGATTACCTAATTAAAAAACTGTACAATATATATTCTTCACAGCCCTATGCTGCACACAAAAGATTTAATGCTGAATCTGAAAAGCCACATGTAATAAAAGCAAAGAATTTTTAAATGCTTCTGATTTTACCTTTTTTTTTTTTTCTTTTTTTCTCTTGTTACAAAAGCAACAGCAATCACTCTCTTTAACTGCTAATAAAAGCAATTTAACGACAGGTAAATTTGCTGGTTTGTAGCTTCTTTGAACACACACCGCACTCACGAAAGGAAAGTAACTTTAGCTAGAAAAGAGATCCTCACAGCACTATGGTGAATAATTCATCATTGCATTTTTCTTTTCATCTCATTTTGTGCCAGTAACGTACACAACTGAAAATATTGTAAAAGCTAAAAACAACCACAGACAAGGACTTCCAGCAGCAAAACACAAATAAAACTAGCAGGCAGGTTCCCCCAGCTCATATAATAACAGCTTTAGCTCGACAGAACCCACATCACTCACCGAGGGCAGAATTCACTTGAACAAAAGCAGAGCCCAGTCACCAAATGCAGCTTCGCAGGACTCTTAATGCGAGATGCTCCTGTCTGCTGTTCAGTTCACACTTGCCTTTATAACTAAGCCAACCAACAACATTCAGTTGCTGAACCTGATGAATTATAAAACGGTAGCTCCCAGACTCTCATATTTTACATCACAGGGGGTGGTCATCCAGCATACACACTGCCTGTGTACATATATTCTGCTATAACTCATCCTGATAAACACATCAGTGCTGGCAGCAGTGACAGTAATTGGTGCTCAGGATGTACAAGCACAAACCAATAGAGCACACTCCCACCTTCTGCTCTGTGCAACATCTCTACCTGTCAATCACTGCACCTTGTTAAGGTGGAATGATCAACTGCACTTCAGGGGAGAATCTAAACTCAGAGGAGAAACCATCTACTAGAAATAGCTTCTTCACTTAAACCTTTCTTAATACATCCTCAGTCTCTTCTAGATACAGTTTTTGTGTTCGTGTTTTGTTGCTTTTTAATCTTCAGAAAATTATCCCTTCTTAAAGACACAGTTCTTGTTTAGTGACTAACACACGGTTCACAACTTCCACTATCATGAATGGATATTATTGAGGCGAATTCTGTGGAATTTAACAAGAATAACCTAACAACAGTGCTCCAGCAACAATGACTATTAAAAGCAATATACCTATTAGTTAAAATTAGGTATATATTTTTAAAGACTCTTATAAAATGTCGGTAGGTTTTAAGTACATCCTTAAAGTTAAAAATATGTATTTATAATGTTCTTTACTTCTCTAATGCCTATTTTCCATATTCTTGCATTGTTTTAAAGCAAATCTACACATAAAAAATAACAGAATCAAACAGCTAAAGCTCAGATACATTGATATAATTAATTAAACTAAACAACTTGAAATAGGATTAATTACAGCAATGGCAATCACAGTTGCTGCACATGATAGAATCTAACTCTCACAATTAGCCCCCAACAAGTAAAACTTGTTATTGTATTGGTCATACACAGACAAGGATCAGTCACAGAAAAGTCTACTGTAAGGAAAGTCTTTTTTAATCAAGTAAAAAATGTTTATTCAGAGGAATATCCAGTGATCTTGTCCACACTTTACATGACCTCAAGACTATTTGTATGAATGTGGGGAGCGAATGAGAACACTTTATGATGATTTTCTGTTTCTATATCCCTGGTAATGACACTCAGAGGGCTCTACTTGGAGCCTGAACTTGCTCCAGCTCCTTTCTTTCCCCATGACTGTAAAATTCTCCCAACATTTGGCACCATGACGCGAGGTTGTGCTTTGGAAGGTGAGTGCTGTTGTGTGAGCGGCTGTGCACTTTCCGGATGCTCTTCCATGAACAACTGGGCTGAGGAATGCAAATGAAGCCTGCGCATGGCAGCCCGAGGCAGAAACCCAACCCTTGTCACCATCTGGAATGCCTGATGTGCGTCACAATGTGGGTACGGGGTGTTGCATTTCATGCATAGCAAAAGCAAGTCCTATATATATCCCATTTCTCCTGTCCTCAGCTGCTTGTTCCCCCCTCCTCATTTGTCTCTTTGTTTGGCACCTTCATTATTTGAGAAAAAAAAAATAAAAAAAAATCACTAGAGGCCAGAGGCACAAGCAACCTACTTGCTTGAATTAAAAGCTGTACATAATTGGGTGGCAGAATATAGGGGAGACATATCAGGACTTAATCAGAACAATGGTTTTTAAGTCTATAGCTTTATCAAAGGAAAGAGCAGCTGAGTTTCAATAACTGGATTCTCCGGTGATGCTGGCTGGGCATAATCCAAAATGGCCAGAAAAAAAATCTAAGTGACAGACACTGGCTCAGTGAGAAGTAGCAAAAAGAACTGTGCCACTGAATTTGGCCTTACACAGACAAATTCTATTCTCACAGATTTATGTGTTACTTGCAAATTATGGAGGTTCACTACAATGGCCAAAGCACAAGAATTTGTTGTCTTGTGTACTAATCAGGGTTTTCTGACTTATTTTTCAGGTTTTACACTACTATGAATTCTGCCAAAATGCCCCTAAATGGCATTTTTCTTTTTGTTTTACCGTAACTATTCAGGTTTGAAGAGGCTTACCACAAATCTATGTAAACATCACAGTGATTTGGTGCAGCATGGTGAAGATGTAGCCAGTGTTTGATTGAATCTTCTTGACCAATATAGCATTCATTCTAAAATTCAGTTTACATTTATTGAATTACAGGTTTGTAAAACTGACCAATATCACAGCAATGTATCACTACAATATTTCATAGCTGTGTATAGGTGGCATGCATAAGCCACAGTCTGTGGTATTACACAAGAGTCATAATTCCAAGAAATATTGCTACCTCATTTCACACTTACTTTCAATTTTTATTTAGCTACCTTGGCTTCCATGTTATTTTCCATGGGAAATATTTCATACCTGCCAATTCCATAATATTCAGCAGTGTGGTGCTCTATCAAAAATAAGCCATATATAGCCTGCTGCCTTCTTAGTGAATGGATACGCTCATTTAACAACCTGTGTTTTCCAGGCTATGTTCATGGCTCACATTCTAGTGCAGAAGGTGAGATTTGAAATTTGAACTTTCTCACTTCACTGACAGGTGTGTGAGAATCCCATATGGCTGCCATACTTATGTGTACCTACATAAATGTTTAGTTTGTATTTTTAAGGCATTTGTAACGCACACATTTGGTATTTACTTTGAGGTTCTTTGCTTCAATCTGCAAGCTATAAATGATTAAGAAATGAAAAAAAAAAAAAAAAAAAAGCATCCCCATTTGATGCCAAAACATGATTTCTGTCTTATATCATCATGTGGTATAATATTGACTACACCTCATAGAGATCCGTTTTGCTAGCTAAAAAGAGCACAAAGATCACTGGGGAAAAGCCAAGGCATTCAGCTAGAATAATAAGTTACCTTCTCAAGTCAAGAAGCAGCTAAGGAAAACTCAAATAAAGAGTAAATACAGGAAGGTTTGATACTAGTAAGATCACGAATTAGCTAGTACAGTTAGCACATATCCCAGTGAGGCAAAACCACACCTCCAGGATGTCCACAGAGTGGACCCACAGTTCCAGGTGAATAAATGTCAACCACCAGAGACAATTTCTAGACTATCCCAGATGGTCCGGATCAGTAGATTGGTCAGTAATTCTCACCATGTGGCTTAAGAAGCCATCATGCAAACTAAGGATGTATTTATTTAGTACCTTGCATTTAGCAATTAAGCTCTTCAGTACCTTTAGTGATTTTTTTTTCCCAGATTTAAACTGCTAAAGCAAATGCTCTTTCATCCAATAGCCTGTTGATGATACTGTCAGAGAGCATCACTAAAGCAATAAACCCAGAAGGATTTAAAAAAGTACAGCATTTATCAGACCATAGCATCCAGAAGAACAGTAATAAGAAGAAACATAAACTTTCTAACAATCAGATCTAGTAAAGCTTTGTTTCCCACAGATGTTTCTCCTTTGATCTCAGACCCCACCCATTGCCTTGCCTCAATCTGAAACATTTCACATCACACCAACTTCTCCTGGGCCCCTTATAAGACAAAGCCCAGGACTTGGGTGGCTCCAGGTCACTAACCAGTTTGTTGCCCACTTTCTTCCAGAGAAAGCACTAAATTACAGCTCCCTCCCTAACCCCACTCCAAGTTGCCAGGAAATCTATAAGACCTCAACTAATTCTGAGACCTCCCTTTTCCCAAATCAAAACCAGCTGAGCATATTTGTCTTTTATTACATTTGGTAAAAGTAACCACTGGTTACACAACAATTCAGCACCTATATTCTCTGAGAGGCAGTTGGGTTAAATGGCATTTTTGTATTCTTTGAGTACAGAAATCTCTCAGACTTGATTCCAGCAAAGACCACTGAGGATTTATGAATTTCACAAGCTCCTCCACCATAAGTAGTCTGAATACAGTGAGAATTTGTCCTTTTAGTTTTACCTGTATGGTAAAAAAGTACCACCCATTGAGTCAGATAGATTTCATTGCTGTAACCTACATACATCATTCATTGTAAAATAAACAGCAGTGACAATGTAAATGAATTTAATTGTCACAGCAAGGTGAAGGAGAAATTCATTTCCTCTCAATGTAGCACACTTGTAATTCCATTTAAGAACAGTTTTTAAATAGAGTTTGAGTTTCTAAGATTAATCCTTGTGAGGACAAATGAATAAAACTCTATGTTTAGATTAATTAACAAATTAGCTTGCACAGGGCTTTGAAGATGTAAAGGACTGTACAAGTGCTATTTCTATAATAATGTTTTTCTAAATTACAATACTTTTCTTCTTCAAGTGACATCTTTTTTTCTGCAAGTGCTGTGTGCAAGCTCAAGTCTTCTTTCTGGAAAAAAAAAAAAGGGAAAAAAAAAAGGAAAGAAAAAGAGAAAATGAAAAAAAAAAAAAAAGGAAAAAGGGAATTAAAGAGGATATGCAGCTAGGTCTGAATGAAGAGACACCCAAGAGAGCAATTCCTGTCAACCAAGGGCAATGAAAAGAACTTGCTTTGCTAGTTAGGAAGGCTGAACACTCTTAATGTCGGCTTCATAGTCTCCAGAATATGAATGATCGTATCAGAAATAAAGAATTCTAAAGGAAGGCAGGCCAGATGGCAATTTCCTGAGAACCTCTGGAGAGGCTGCCTGGATTTGATTTGAAAAGTCTTTTAAAGCACCCCATGAACCTGGAATACTACGGCAGCCCATTTAAAAGCCAGTGGATTTCCCAGTCTGACACCTCATACAAATGCTGCTTTTCTGTGTGGCTTAGATTACTTCATCTGGTTAAAATAACCAAGAAACTTGGATGCTATGGTTCAGCATCCAGATTTTTATTTTATTTTATTTTATTTTTCCCTCTGGACTATCATTTTCCCTTTAACTACAAGTTTCCCACTCTTTTATTTCTGCTGTTTCATTTTAAAAGAGTTACAGTGTCTACAGGTTACTAACTCCAAGAGCTGGAAGAAGAGCTCAAGATCCGCTTTCTATTAGGCAAAACATTAAATTCAGTAACAAACCAGACAAGCATCTTTCACACAAACAGAAGGTCTCACATTCAACTCCTTATAAGCCTGGTGCGGGGAGAAAATGAGTTAACAGCTATGGATGGCAAAGAATGGTGGAGCAACATGTAGATCCTCCTGCGATTCGCAGTCTGAGTGCGTGCACTCTGTGGTGGGAGGAGTAGGTGGCTGATTTGGGGAAGAAGCAAAGCACAGGAATGATACACTTGACTCCTCTGAGGATGGTGACGAAAATCTGTCGGCTTGGCATAGTTCTTCATGTTACCTACAGCAATTACTGACGCATGGAGAAAGTAGCAGCTCTACAGACATCACGGTAAGAGGCACGGTATGTGCAGTGGAGAGAGCAGAACAACTTTATTGAAGAAGCCTATGGCAGTGCTGCAAAGGAACTGTCTAGGCTATCAAGGAAGATGGACAACTGAAGAGCACACAGAACAGTCTTCTTTAGAAAACTGTAAAATTTAGGCCTGTGTTTGTGGTAGATCACAAAAAAAAAGACAAGTGGCATAGCCTGAGAATGCCTTCTGCACTGGCTATGACAATGAACTAGCAGAGGAATCAGTACACACATACTTTTAGATTAAGTTTTCCCCTCCTACAGATTTCTTTCAGGAAAGAAGATACGAAGCCTGGATGACTAACTACAATGCAGATGGCAAAGCAATATAGAGATACCCATGCTAGCTCCAAATGAACCAGCTTAGATGACACCAACAGTAAATTTAACCTACTCATTTTGAACTCCATGGTTATCCTGTTCATGGAGCATGAACATTTTAAGCAGTCTGTGATGCAGTCAAGCCAAGAAAGGACAGCAGGTGATACTCAGGGTAGGTCTGTGCCAGCCATTCTTGCAAAATTTACTTCTGCAGTTTTCTTGCCATTACTTGCAAAGATGCCAAGGATGTAGTACCTCCCAGCAAGGAAGAATATACGCAACTGCAGAAGCATCAAAATGAAGAATTGTTCTGAAAAGAAAGGAAGAAATAACTGCTCTATTGGGATATGGCAAGCCTTCCTTCAGCTCAGCAGGAACCATTTGTAGTCTTTCATGTTTTCTAAGACTGCTGAAACTGCAGAATTAACTGTCTTGGCTTGAAATCAGGTCAAATAATTCAGCTCTCACCAGAAGCCCTTTTTGTTAATTATGGGCAAGGACAACCTGGTGAATCTGCTTTAAGATGACTTTCATGTATTCCCATGTTTTCTGGACACTTGAAGGCATGAATGGCAAAGATACTCCATCTACAGGGCAGTAGTTACTGTGAACAAGGAAATGTCCATCACCCCATCACATGTGCGGTTTTTACCTGGCAAACAACTTCTACGGAGTTGAGCATTTCAGGACAAGCTACCATTTTGTCAGGACTGTATCTGATGGGACCCAGGAATCAGGACACCAATTAGATGCTCTGTTCTTGAACTACTTATAGCTCAAGGATTAATTAGGAGTGGAAAATGCTCTAAGAACTTTAAATGAAGAACTGAAGAATTAAAGGAGGTGAAATATAAATACTTACTCTTGTTCTCACTGCAGCATCAGAGTTAAACATACCCAAATAACTCAGACTACATAGGTACAACAAGAACATTTGATTAGTATTTCTTAAATGATATAATGGGATTTATCAGACAATAATGAAGAACTGAACAGAGAGATTGTACATGTTGAATCTGAGAATATGCAGTTCTAAGCACTTAAATTTGTAGCTTCCTACTCATTTGCCCTGACCAGCTTTCAGCATGATGCCTGAACTAGAAAAAAATCATATGAAAAATACAGGCCAAAAAGAAAGTAAGAGCAGCATTGGTGAGGGGAAGTTATTTGCCATTTCCATGTGCTTAAATCTCCATTGGCTTTTTTAGGAGAGAGCCTTGGAAAAACAAAGAAGGAGCAAAAGGCAGTAGACAAAAACCTGGGAGATTTACTGAAGGAGTTTCCATCCTGCATGTCTTGGGACAGATTCTGCTTCTGTGACTCAGTTTCTCTGCTCAGCGCTACTTCATGCAGGTACTGTGAAGAAAAACTAAAAATCATATTTCATATGTTCAATATTTGACATATTTCAATGTTAATGCTGCAGGACACTTAAGTACCTTTGAAGCAAATTGTCTTGCAGGATTTGGAGAGCTCCAAACAATGATTTTATTGAGTCTTTTTAGAAACACAGAGTCATAGAATTATCTAGGTTGGAACCGGCCTTCAAGATCACCAAGTCCAACCTCCAACCTGACCTACCGAGTCTCATCACTAAGCCATGAACCTCAGTGCCATGTTTCTTAAATAACTCCAGGGATGGGGGCTCTACCACTTCCCTGGGTATCCCATTCTATTGCTTGACCATGAAGAAATTCTTCATAATGTCCACACTAAACCTCCCCCAGTGCAATTTGAGACCAATTACTCATGTCCTATCACTTGGCACCTAAGAAAAGAGATCATCACTGTCCTCATTGCATCCTCCTTTCAGGTAGTTGAAAACAATGAGGTCTGTTATAAAGTAATCAAAAAATATGTACCTGAAGGTACTATCAAAGTTGTGGGCATGCAAAAGTTAATTAGATTATATCAGAAAGTAATGAGGAAAAAACAATCTTTCTTACTACTAAATTTCATTGCTTTTGTTCCCAGTAAGCATCTCTTTCAACTACTGTACTTCAGTTTGTACCAAGTGATATAACAAGGGCTTTTTGGGGAATGGAAATGCAAATCCTGTGTGTGAATACACTACCTACAACACATCCTAATAAAAAAGAAGAATCTGGTAAATAAACTTTTTCTGAGTCTGACTGACCTGCAGAACTGAACAAATAATTTGCAATGAATATATGGTTTCTCCTCTGCATTAGGTTTGTTTCTGTGCTTTTTTTTTTTTTCTCCTGTTTTCTTTATGTGTGTTTTTTGTTGTTATCACAAATTAATAATCACACACTACTTAGTAGATGCTCCCTTCCTATAGATGATTTATGAACATTATGCAGTTAGTATTTGCAGTATGAGTTTTGCATAATCATATACTATTTCTTTGTCTCCTGCCAGGTGAGGTGTAAATATTAGCACTGCATATCTTGGAAAAATATTCACATACAGTACATTAATTATAAAATATCGCTACTACAAAGTTCATCTAGAGTTTGGATGGAAATTAAATGCAAGTGATCATAAAAACAGATGAATCATTTAATTATATATGCATGTTTCTTGTAAAGTTTTTGAGGTATGTCTTTGGCTTTTCTTAGAAACCTAAGAAACATCATCTTGGATGTAAAATTATAATCAACATTTTTATTCCTGTAAGATAATTCCCATACCAATACTACACAGAATAATGAACTTTTGCCTTGCTTGGTTTACAGTTAATTGATTTTCAAATAAGCATCTGGATTTAAGCTACAAACTTGTTGACTTAAGAAGACTTGGGGAAAGTTAGGGCAAATCAATTAAATGTAATGAAATCAATGTATATAAAAGTTAAAGCATGTTAATATTCATATATTCTTGAAGGTAACTTTAGGATCTTCCTCTGAATGAAACTACCACAAATAAAGGCCTCTTTTTTTTTTTTTTTTTTCCTGTAATGATTAAATTCTTTTGGGAGCTTAATATGCATTAATTTAACACAATACTCCCTTCAAACAATTGATTTTCTTGAAGTTACTTCTTAGACCTGGGCAAGAAAGTTAATGACTTCCTGTGGGAAGGAAACCTCAACTAGCGTTAGTCTGGATGCTGTAGCCAGAAATTGGTTTTGACTTTTCTAGGAAAAAAAAAAAAAAAAAGAAAAGAAGAAAAAATAAAGAAAAGAAAAAACACCCTCTTCTTTCTTCCTATGTAATAGAAAGAAAAGAGACAAAAACACACAGTTTATATTCAATTCAGTAAAATCTAGGTGTATACATATAAAGAAAAGTGACAGAGGGCCAAGCTGTGGAAAAACAGATTAGTTCTTAATATGGTACTGAAGAAGTGAAATGCCATCATATAGGAAATAATCACTGATGACAGCATTGACACCCCTGCTTTACAGTTTAGAGAATACCATTTTGCCATTTTGAAAAGCTCATTTTTTTCTTTGAAGTAATGATACTTTGAGTGTCCTGTATTAACTAACACTGATGAATTTTTTGATCTATGTGATAAATATTATGGCTGCTGAAGTCTACAGAATGTTTCACATTGCTTTCTATATTTGAGGACTCACCAATCACAGCTGAGACACAACCTGCTATGTGAAGGCATGTCCTGTATGTACTGAACGTTACTAGTATTAGGATAATTTTATGCTCTGCTTGGTAAATCCATGTGAAACTTCAAGAAAGACTCATGGATCTTATCTTTTCAAAGGTAGTTCATCTCTGCAGCTTCTCACCAATATATGAAATAAGAAAAATGACAGAATTATTCTACTTACAGTTTTTCCAATTCTCTATTTCCAGAGATCTTTGAATCTAACCATAACGTATTAATGAATATTTTGCATTTTGATATTTTTTTTTAAATACTTTTTCAGACAAGTTTTCCCTGCAGGGCTAGGAAATCAAGTTAGACAGAAAGTTAATTTCCCACAATTTTGGTATTTTGGAAACTTTCTTAATAATCAAACTTCTATACTTGAAAAAATCACAGCAAAAGACCAGATAGTATGTGGTGTGCACATCCAGCCTAGGGACAGACCCCAAGCACTGCTCAGTGAGGAGGAGGAAAGAGTAAGCTGCAAGGAGAAGGAGCTGCAAGGAACCAGAAACCCAGCTGGGCTTCTCTGGTACTTTGGCAAAATAATATCCAACCAAAATGTATCCTACCAAAACACTTTTCCTTTTAATACTAATATGAAGGACAAGTAGATTAGGCAGATTAATGGGAATATAAGAGGTGCTCAGTGTCTACTAATACACAGTAGTGTCATCAAATAAATAATCATTATTAGAAAATTTAGGATTTTCTATGCAAAGGAAACTATACCCTCAATGACTGCCCCATGAGTTAAATGTCCAAACACATTAAAGTATCTGGGTCTAAGACATTGTGCTATTGATAGTTCCTAAATCAATGTTTTATGGAATAAGGTATTTCTTTGTTGTGCTTTTTCTTTTTTTTTTTTTTTTTTTTTTGTTTTCTCTGCAACATGCCATCAGTGCCTGTTGATAATATCCAGATGCAGCACTGTCAGTGAACAGTTTCTCCTTTTACATGACAAGCATCCTTTCCAAGAACATTAAATATTTTTAATGAAGTATATGTGACAAATAAAATCCTGTAGCTGGTCTTTCACCATGTCTATTTTGCTCATTTAGTCATGATTATACTGTTTTAGCATAAAAATGCTACTGCAAGAGAAAACTAAAATAAATATCTTACAGATAAATTCTCCTCAGCCAGAAGTAGCATTTAGGGCTTTAGAACAGGAAGAGGAAAACTCATCATGGTTCCTCCGCTATTTTAGTCATGACACTTACACAAATCCCAACCATCTTGGCAAACACAAACCACCCATTACAGTCAGTTATCACATGTATCAAAAAGGAAGACAATTAACAGGCAATCTATTTCAACATATTTCGGGCAAGATTTCTGCACCCCCCTATCCCACCGCCCTTCATATTTTCCTTTGCTGGCAGCAACCAAACTAGGAAGAACTGTAGGAAACCAAACTGTAGGAAGAACTCTTCCTGTAGAAAACATGGTGGTTATCTGGTTGCTCTGCTGCTCAATGCAACTCCCTAGCCAAGGCTAGCTACAACCCTCTTCTGACTCCAGTAATTGTTTTTTTCTGAGGTGCTCTATTCAGAGCAAGAAGTACTTTGATATGTCTTTAAAAGCACATTTTCAGATTCATGTCTCGGCTTCCTTCCCTTCCCTTCCCTTCCCTTCCTTCCCTTCCCTTCCCTTCCCTTCCCTTCCCTTCCCTTCCCTTCCCTTCCCTTCCCTTCCCTTCCCTTCCCTTCCTTCCCTTCCCTTCCCTTCCTTCCCTTCCCTTCCCTTCCCTTCCTCCTTCCCTTCCCTTCCCTTCCCTTCCCTTCCCTTCCCTTCCCTTCCCTTCCCTTCCCTTCCCTTCCTCCCTTCCCCTCCCCTCCCCTCCCCTCCCCTCCCCCCTCCCTAGGAGAACATTGATTTAAATGTTTTCTGAAGAACTTTATTACCAGGCACTGTATGATTTAAAATATGAACCAATATTTCAACAACGGTTTTGCTAGAGCAGTTTTCTACCATAAGAAGGTTTATAAAATACTGGGAGATCACTTTTCCCCATCCCTTGTATCTGTCTGTTTCGTACTTTTTTTCCATCCAAGTCTGCTTCTCTAGCCCAGAAAAGGGATACCCACACTTTAGGAGAGGCACCACAAACAGTGATGCTGATCTGAGTATTCCATAACTGGAGGAGAGTAATTCACAGCAGTTAAGTGGACTTGATCTGTTTGCATGAGCAGATACAGAACTACTCACAGTCTGTGCTAAGTAGCAGTACAGGAACAATTAGAAAAGGTCCCTCATTTTCTAAGAACTGCTTTCAAAAATCTCATCAGTAATGGGAATAAAGGTGGATCTTAGGTCAAAAAGGGCTCTTTGTTCCTTCTGCTTTGTTCATCTGGCTTTATCTCCCCATAGCTCATGAAACTGATTGATAGCATATATTAAAAATTGTAATAATGACATGCATTAATTAAAAATTAAAAGGCTATGTAGATTTATGCAAATTATCACATTGTGCAGCATTCAATCAATAATAAATAGGCAAATTAGGGGTGACCCTCAAGTGCCTGGCATGCTGCCAGTTCAAGAGCTGCAAAGACTGCATGGTGCCAACAGGTTGTGTAGCTCACAGCAGCATCTATCTGCCTGGAGATCTGAACCTGAGCATTCATTCCTGGTACTCCGACATTCTGGCTGCAGGGAGAAAATGTACTTAAAAAAAATATCTTTATACCACATGTTCACATTCTGCACTTCTTGAAGCATTAATCATACAATGATAGCCTTTGGCTTCCAGTCAGCTTTACTTTCACACTCAC